CCATGTCTCAGGTCACATGTGATTTATGGATCGCCTTTTCACAGGCGTCCAATCACCGCTGACTTCCGGAAACGGGGAAGTAACCAATGGCGTTTGAGATTACAATTAACCCTTTGACGCGTACGATCACACCGGTGTGATCAGTCTTGGCTGGTCCCTGAAGCGTACGATCACACCGGTGTGATTAGAACTTTCAGTGCCTCACGTCATCAACCGCTGAATTTAAGTCCGCTTTCGCTTTGCCTGGCGCAAGCCAGATCGGACGCGCTAAGCGCTTGTCATATTATCACAAGTATTCATTGTTTTCAACCATATACTACTTATTTTAGGTTTCAGACGTTTAAATACACATAAGTACTAGCAAAACCATACATTTACAGTTTGTAAAATGCACGCTGATGTCTATGGAAACGGCAATAATGATCCTTACAAATATAATCTGACGACATGTTTTTATTGATATCATATACAGATTGTGTAGGTAAATATAAAGTTTTCAGTGTTTTCAACCATATAATGGTTATTTTAGGTTTCAGACATTTAAATACACATGAGTACTAGCAAAACCATACATTTACAGTTTGTAAAATACACGCTGATGTCTATGGAAACGGAAATAATGATCCTACCAAATATAATCTGACGACATGTTTTTATTGATATCATATACAGATTGTGTAGGTAACTATAAAGTTTACTCTGCTCTTCTCCCAGTTTACCGGAGACCTAATTTAACGTGTTTTGGGAGGAGAGGATGAATTTGCGTGTTGTAAATCCCACAGCTCGGATTCAGTGCGAACTAACATGGCGGCGCCCATCACCCGGTATAGATCAACTAACACGGTCGATATAAAAGTGTTATACTACCAAATAGATTTAATTGCACATATTTCAGAATCGGAATATCAGATATTTCATAATATAGTGAGCATGTTTGTGAATATTTTGAATAAAACAGGAAAAACGAAATAAAAGCGATCCATGTGTCATACAGATCTATTGTGGCTGCATTGTGTCACATGACAAGCATGATGCGTCGCCATGGAAACAATACGGCGATACATTTTAAAATAATGGTCGCCTAAAAAAACTCACGCTGGGGGCTCAGCTAGAATATTTTAAACTCACGTGCGAAAGGGTTAAAACAGCAAGTCCCGCCTCACAACTGGCAAAAATAAAAGTGTGCCAAAACTACAGAGCGTGAGAATGAGGGGGGATGATCACGCGCGTGCGATGAGACATTTCCTCGCTCGCGAGGGCTTCTATTGCGCGCACAGGTGATGTGATGCGCGAGCGAGTGTTTAAAACGAGTTTGCAGGCTCCCGTTTCCTCGCGTGTGGATCTGTTATCCTCTCGCGGAAGCAATTTACCGTGCGCGTAAACATAACTGGTGCACTCGGTTCTTTTTGGCATTGATTTGCCGGCATAGACACAGGGCTATTAAAGTAGATGTACTTTTGGAAGAGTCCAATTGGCTCTCTTTGAACTCCACTGGGAGGCTTAAAAATAGCATTCTCACCTTGCTGAGCACTGATCCAAATAACCCTAAAATAGTCAAAGCAATCTGGACAGGACTACCATAATTCCAGGTTCACCTATTTTTAGTTGAAACAGCTTTGAAGGGGAAAATGCAGCTATTTTGATGACTTGGACACAGAAAATATCTGTAGTGTTGATGATGTGTTTTGGATCAGCGGCTTTATGCAGTGCTAACCCAGGAGGGGATTATGGCTGTGTCATGATGTAAACATCAACAGCTGCAGATTATCAGATGACGCATACATGTGGCGATAACTTGCTCCTAGCCCATTTCAGCCCAATCTCAGGTCATTCAATCCAGTCTCACTCCCACCTTTTTTACTCTGCCCTCCCTTCTGTCCTTCATCATCCGTCCCCTTTGCTTTGGCACCCTTCTGTTTCCTTCTCCCTTCCTGTCATTGTGCCAAATCCTCCATTTCTATACATCTCCTACCAACATGCATCTGTTTTTCTGTGTTTCTCCTTTTGTCTTCCTGATTTTCTGCATTTATATTTCTCTTTGTCCCCTAGCTTCTAAGCAATCTGAAATACAATTTAAGACTTCTGGTGTGATAAAACAGATGGGGAAAAAATTATTTCCTGATGATGGTCACTTGTTTTTCCACATCGTTCTCTGTCTTTTTGGTTCTCTTTCACAGCTACCTGCATAGCAGTCATGAGATCGTCCTCCGCAGAAGTCACCCTGGCAGCTGGGGTTTCAGCATTGTTGGAGGTTATGAGGAAAACCACAGCAACCAGGCGTTCTTTATCAAGACTATCGTCCTTGGAACACCCGCTTACTACGATGGCCGTCTAAAGTGAGCAAGCACAACAAAACAAACAATAAACAATAACCTAATGCTTCACGGCTAGATGATACAGCACTTTCAGCATTACCTTGATTAAAATGTTAAAAAGCAAGCTTACATCTCTGGCTGTCAGTGTTTCATAAAATATTCTTTTTGGGGGGGAAATATAGTAAACAAAAACACTACTATTATTTATAACCTATTTAATTATAATTATTATTTATTCCATATATTTATTATTTAAATTAATGATTAATAAATGAATAAATATAATTTATTGTTTCATTATAATATTCATAATATTTTTATAATTTATTAGTATTTTTTTATTTATTATTGAATGTTTTTTATTAATAAACTACCATTTATTACAATATAACTTTATTGATTCTTTATCTTAGAGACAGCATGAAATGAAAATTTACTAAATGCATCTTATTGATCTTATTGTCAACAATTTATCAATGCATATGTTTAATTATTTATTTATTTATTTTTTGACCTCATCATTTCTCATCAAATTGTCATAATTCAGTCTTCCTGTGAAATTATTTGTCTCTGTTGACTATGCCGGACTTCTCCAATCATTTAGTCCGGTTAACCCACACCCCTTTATTACAATCAACGGCAACCTCGCATTCAGCCGATCTGGTCAGATCTTAATTCAGTAACCAACCAATTCAGTGAGCTGGTGATTCACTTAACCAATTCAAATTGACAGCTGAGAGTGAACTGTGAGTTTTTTTTACTGATTCATTTAAATCAACTGTTGTGTTTTTTGACTGATTCATTAAAAACATTCTCTTCCACATAAACACGTTTTTGTTTTCCATTCAGGTGTGGTGACATGATAGTGGCTGTAAACGGTCTGTCCACGGCTGGCATGAGTCATTCCGCCCTGGTGCCCATGCTGAAGGAGCAGCGGAGCAGGGTAGCGCTCACTGTCGTGTCCTGGCCAGGAAGCCTGATCTAACCCTGTCAGGACACCATGCCTCACCTCAGACAGCGCTCATATCTGTGTTCTAATGGTCATGTGTTCCACTCTCTGCCACGGAGGCACCATACTGTCAAAGCCAGAGTCTCAGAAAATCGAATGCTTTTGCTTGATGCTGAATAAACCAGGCCTTAGAAAACCTGCCACGCCCATGAGGCCACCCCCCCTCTGGAGAGCAGCCTTAAGGTCTCCCCTCACCATGCCGATCAGCAGTCCACTCTACCGGAGGTTTTATATACGTTATCTCTAAATGTGATCTATGTTTGTGAATGTTTGTGTAAAAGAGAGACTGAACAAAAGTGTATGTGTGCAAGTATGAATGGATGAATGTGCACAGCTGTTTAATAAATCTTTCCCAGTGAGGATACAAGAGTTAAGCCTCAGTTGATGTGTAAAAATGATTTCTAATCCCACTTATATTCAGATTTGATCCAGCCTTTTTGCTACAGTAATCTTAGAGACGTCTAATGATAATAAGTTCCAATCTCTCTAGAGATAAAAATATGGGATAAATATTTGCCATCCTAAAATGCTTTTAGAAAATCTTTGAAAAGATTTGCAGCAATATCTCAGGGAGGATTTTAGCATTTGCTACCATCTTTGCACAAGAGTTCAAGGTTTGGCTGGTTAAGCATGTCCCCATTAGCTCACACTGGTAAATGCCATTGCTACACCATCTGGCAGGAAAAAAAGAAAGTAACTTTAAAAATGCATCAGTGTACACAGACTAATCTTTATGAAATATATATATTGCTAAAATTTAATTGTAGAGGTTTTATCATTTCAATATATATTTTTAAGAGAGCTTAAAAGCATGAAACAAGAGTGCTGCTGGGATGATGCATTTTTGAGTTTGCACTTCCGGTTACATTGTCCTGAAGTCGGTGGATTTTTTTTTTTTTAAATGCCTGAAATAAGGTCTGTGGTTCACACAAGCTCAGGATATTTTAATGTTTTATTCTACAGCATAAAATACACCGGTAATACCACCTTGTGAATTTTTAAAGCTTTTAACTTGTCTAGAGCAGAAAAAGGCTGTCAAAGTGCACTAGTGAGCAGTTGAGTTCTGTTCCACATGATGACGATTGTCCCTGACAACCTCTATAGTCCCCAGCACGGATCAGCTCCAGGCATGACGAAGCAGATATCGTCCTCTTTTGGAAAGCCAAATAAAGTGGTTTCGCTTTCACAACGAAGCACACAGTGCCTTCACGACATGGCGGCGGCAACAACAATACTACAGTGAGAATAAAAGTTACGCCTTCTTTCATTGCGTGAACATTTGGGCGGCGTTATGCAAATCTTTCCACATAGTGAGGTAGATATGTGGGGGCGTGTTAGAATGAGCCATTTTAGGTAGGCGTGGCTGACTCTTTAACTTTTATAAAGAATATCTCTTTGGATTGGAGACTTTAGTCTTTGCAACTTTACAGATCTTCTTTATGCACCAAGAGCTTGTAACAATCAAAAGAGAAAGGAAAAATTGAAATCGCATCCTATTACCCCACTTGTGAGCAAATCCCTTTTCATTTGCAGAAAACAGTCCCCTTTCACAGCCTTTTTGTGTTTATAATCACACTATTATGAAACATTTTAACTCAAACTTTAAGTAAGATTTATTTATTTTTAATACTGAAAGTGTTTCAGAGATTTCTGACAACTGCATCTAACATCAAGGTCCAGGTCATGCTAACCAGTCCAACCTTAATCACTTGACTACAACCAAGTTCTTGTTTGGCTCATAGATCACATGCTTAATAGAAAATGACTTTTGAAAGTTATCAACATAGACTGTTCCTTTTCCAGCATCATGAACTTTATTCACCACAAAACAAAAGTTGCAGAAGTGACCATTTATTTTGTAAAGTGATCTAAACTCAAATGTTAGGTCGATAAACTGAACAAAACTTAAACTGAGGAAACTATGGGACAAAAGGGATTGTCCCATTAAAAAAAAAAAAAAAAAAATTTAAGGCAATTGCTTCTTTGATGCAGTCTTGTTCAAGGACACATTTTGTAGATGCTTGGATAATTTAGTGGCATCTGACAACTTGGTTTTGGATGGCGTCTTCTTGCGTTTGCGCTGCTTGATTTTTGGCTTCTGTAAGAGAAGATTTAGATGAGCATTTCCAATACATAATGTATTGAAACACACATACTAAACATAACTGCCACACAAGTTTACCTGTAGTTTTGTCTTCTGAGGCTTATGGACCACAAAATGCCTCTTCAGACTTTCCTGTGAGAAGAGAAGGGAAAAAAAAAAAAAAAAAAAAAAAAAGGATTCCCCTTTAGTTAATTAAAAACATGAAATAAGAGGGTGCCTTTATGAACTTAAATTACTCCGCCTAAAAAAAAAAAAAATAATAAAAAAAAGCTAACCTCCATAGCAAAGGCTTTACCACAGCCTGCAAAAGGGCAGGCAAAGTCACACTTCCCTTCATGGAAGACCAGAATGTGGTTCTGGAGGTTGAAGTTTGTGGTGTAGCTCTTTTCACAGCCTTCTCTAGCACATTTAAACATGCACCGCTGCCCAGAGTGAACAGACTGTTTGTGCTTCTCCAAAAACCAGGCATTCTGGAACATCTTCTTGCATTGATCACATGGCAAGGTTACTGTAAACAATATACGATTAAGCCCAGGGGTATTTTGCAACTTACATTCAAATTAATTATCTAAATGACTGAGCATGTACCTCTGTGTGCGGTCTTTTTGTGCTTCTGATACTCTGACCAAGTTTTTCCTTTGAAGTTACAATACTCCTCACCACATGGGTAACCTCAAATTTAGGAGGGAAAGTTATGCATCTAAAAATCCTAAACTCAATTGTTTGGAAGTGAGAAAAGGTTTTTGCCTGATGTATACCTTCATGCATCTTCCAATGTTGTTTTAGAGCTTTAGAAGAAGCAAATTTGTCATTGCATCCCTCAAAGTCACATCTGTTAGAATAAAGCATGAATAACCAGTCATAATATAAAAGCCACCAAACAAAGCACATAAAAAGACCCTAAAGCAACACTTACTCAAAGGGCAACTCCTTTGTGTGCTCACAGATGTGAATCTTCAGTTGCTTTTTCTTACGGAACTCCTTTCCACAGCCTTCATGGTTGCACTACAAAATATTGCCAAGACATTTAAACAGGAAACATTAGAACGAATAAAACTATGAAAAAATAAATCATTTAAGGGACTCACCACATAACAGCTTTCTTTTTGGTGGTGAACATGAGCCACATGGTTCCTCAAGCTGCCAGGCGTGGAGAACGCACCTGAACACCCGGTGACTGAGCACCTTGACCAGTTTAAACCAGGTGATCAGCAAAAATATGCACAAAAGCGGCATAGTAAGGGTAATATGGGACTACGTATAAAAACCTAGTGAGCTGCCTACCTAGACACGGACAACCTAATGAGCTGCCTACCGAGACAGACTTTTGGGTAACATATAATGCCCATAAATACTGTCAGGGCAGCTTACTAGCTCTGCCAGGAGGGAGCGTGATAGTTCGACATGTGAATCGGTTGCGTAAACGATTCAATGATGACGATACAGATCACTCATAACAACAACAACAACAACAACAACAACATGAGCTGCCTACCGAGACAGACTTTTGGGTAACATATAATGCCCATAAATACTGTCAGGGCAGCTTACTAGCTCTGCCAGGAGGGAGCGTGATAGTTCGACATGTGAATCAGTGAATCGGTTGCGTAAACGATTCAATGATGACGATACAGATCACTCATAACAACAACAACAACAACAACAAAAAAAAGTTCATTTTTCGCCACACAAAACATTTAAAATATGTTGTACAATAAGTAAATAAATTATATAGATAAATTAGCGAAAACAACTCAAATGTATCATAAGCAAGTTCAGGTAAACAAATGATTTTTTTGTGAGTGGACTCACAGGTAGGGTTTCTCCCCGCTGTGGCTCAGTTGATGTCGGGTGAGCTGGTAACGGGTGCAAAAGCTCTTCTCGCAGTCGCCACAAACAAAGGGCTTCTGATGAATTGTTAAAAAAAAAAAAAGACCCACTAAGTACTAATATGAACACTAGATGAGTATCTAAAACCCAGAAAAGATTAAGTTATTGATTGCGGTCACTCACCAGTCCCGTGTGTCTGCAGTAATGCGCTTCCAACTTCCACAGCTTTGAAAACGTCGCTTTACAGTCAGCGAAAGAACAAATGAAATGTTTATTCGGATGTTGAATTCTTTCACCCATTCTAGCCGATTATTAACAGCTTCTGTCAGATGGTGGCAGGTCGGTGTTCGGCCCACAACGCCAGAATTTCATTGAGCTTCGTTTTATTGTGAGTGGAACATACCAACTGTGTACATTGAGAATTGAGTATTTGCCATTTTTGCGACAAAAACAAAGGCGTGAAATTATTAGGTATCCTATTAGCTTGCATATTATTTTTATTATGTATTATTATTATTATTAATGAAAGATACAGTACGAATTATTCAATGCTTTTGACTCACTAATTGTAGTGTCGCGCTCTCACAAGTCGACATGGCTTGTTCCTGATTTGAATAGAGCTACCTGTATGGTCACATGACAAACGCGTGACATGTCAGGACCTCAATGGTTATGTTTTTATTATTGCTGTCATCAGAACCATCAATTTGAAATGAAACAAACAAGAATACATTAAAAATATAAAATAAATTGTCGGGGGTGTATAGAAAACACATCTAAATGCAAATAAATAAATAATAGAAAATATACCAAATTAACATTTCTTTTATAGTTTGTATTGTTTTTTTTGTTATTTTTTTACTTTTAGATATGGTTTCAATATATGTGTTTTATTTTCATAAATGTTCTATTTATCATGTTTCTGTATTATGTAAATATTATAGAATACTATATTATATTGTAAGAATATATTTCTCCTATTTCCATCTGGTTATTTTTTACTAAATGAACCAGCATCAGGTCTGCTGTTTATTTCCCATGGTGATTCACACGTGGTATAACACCTGATGAACACTAAGCAACTGCTCACCTTCACAGACTTGTGATCACGACTGAAGGTCTTTGGAATTGTCTGACAGAGATTTATATGCATATTAAACTGTCAAGTGGCTCCATTCAAGTCTGTGTATGAATGTGTCTGTCTAGGGTGTTTAAAAGACTGCCTGGCTCCATTCATCACACACACACACACGTGGAAATTACTGCTCTAATTGTGGTTTATCAGCATCCAAGAACAGCCCACTGATATGTGTGATTTACTACAGTCAAGATTGCTCCTATGTGTCCCAAGGTGATCATGTTTTATTTCAAAACTAGTGTTGCATACTGTAAACTATTTCTCATTTCCTGCTTGCTGCACTTTATCCTGAGGCAAAGGGGTATTGTTTTTCTCTTTCTTCAGTTTAGAATGACCTGATCCAGAACTTATGTTTATTAATTATTCACAGGGTAAACAACAAGAATTCAAGGGTAAACAACCAAAATCGTATAAATAATCCACAGTGAACAGCTTAGAAATTCAAGTGTATCCTCTATCAAAGTCATCCAGACTCTATCCATCTGACATCAAGTTCGGAAGACATTCCTGCCCAATAATCATCGTTGTGCCTCTTCCTTCACATCATCCGGTCTTGCAGTGTCCCAATCCTCCCGTGTTTGGGACTGATCAATAAAGCTGCCTCTGTATCTCACTGGCCATGATCTGCCCTGATAAGCCAACAAGCAAAATGACAAACACCAGCTCACAGCCAAAACGGTGTGTTGATGGTGATTAGAGAGTCATGCCTTCAGTCTACCAATTGAGCCAGTCTCCCTGATTTCACAGACTTTAGGGGATTTCAAAAAGAGTTAGAGACTGTGGTGGGAGAAGACAACATGATGTCTAGTTGTACTATCTCTGTATGTCGTGTTTGCTTGTCTACCTGGCTGAGAGAGGAAAGTTAATGTGTAACATGGGCAGTCGATACGGCTGCCGCGCTGCTTGATGGCCTAAATCTCTGAGTGTCAAACAGGTATGATTAAGGACCTCAGGACTTGCCTCAGCCCACTTTGCTCTATCCCTTTTTTCCTCTTTACCTCTCCTCTGTTTACTTTGTTTAATTCAATCTATGAGTCAGAGCCTTGCAGCATTGTTGCGGAAGCTAATATGTAGCTTGTCAAGCTTCGCTAGTAGCTAAAAAAGTAGATAAGTATTCAAGGTATTTAATATATATATAAAAAACATAACTATCATATAATTTATAATTTGATCAGAGCAGTATTTTCTGGCACAAACACAGTGAGGAAACAATTAATGAATGAACAGTAGGGTATGAAACAGGTACATTTAAACTAAATACGACAAAACACCAATTTACAAACAAAGTTATATATTAGACTCAAATCGATGAATCACTGTTTATTTATATGATCCATCTGAACCAACCAATTCACTAGAAAGAAACGGACTATTCGAGTGCATATGAGAGAGAGGACCGTTCTAACGAACCAAAGGATTAGAATGAATCTGACTATCCAAAAATACATATGAAAGACAGAACCTTTCGAACAAACCATTTTCAGTGAAATGAAACTGAATGAATCTGAATGACTATCCAACATTATGAGAGAGGACCGTCTGAAAGAACTGATTCATTGAATCAGATTATCCAACGTTACATATGAGATAGAGGACAGTTCAACTGATTCACTAGAATTAATTGGACTATCCAATGTTACATATGAGACAGAGGACCATTTGAACAAATCGATTAAATAGCTTTACTCTGCATTCCGTACATATGACAGAGAAAACCGTTTAGGATGAAATGATTCACTAGAATGAATCAGACTTTCTGAAGTTAGATGAGTTTTGTATGTTAAAGCTTACAAACTGACATAAATTATGTTCAGTCATGACAACTCTCGAAGCGTTAAGCGTGGTAATATACATGGCAATGTTAATGTGTTTGGTCTTAGAGGAATGGATCTGCTATGCTGCTGCTGCTGCGGCAGAGCAAGTATCAAGACTTGCTACTGCCAATACATCCACAGACATGCTGCCGTGAGCATGTAAGTAATACTGCTGCTGCACATATAACATATATAAAATAACCCCCATATATAACAAACATGAAATCACCCCGTAGCAGATCTATACAGGTGGAGCTGGGGGAGGTGGAGGGTTTCTGAAGCGTGCTACAACTGCAGCAAGCACTAGGCTGCTGACATGAAAAGAAACCAATCAGCTGCACCATGTGATTAATGATGTCATTATGTCATATTGAGTTAGACCCTATTGGCCTGCGCCATCTAGAGTTTCATGACAGAACTTTGGATTTAATTGCATAATTTAAATCCAAATAAAAGATTGTGATAATGTTGTCCTGTCTTTGATATGTTATATATAATTCTGTCTGATATTTTAAATGTTACAGTAGTGTTTTCGATTTAATTCATTGGATATAAATTAACAGTGTAAAGACATGGGCTCCCCTCATCACAGGGCCCTTAAAGTTAGGCACAATAACAAGCTACGTTTGATGTAAAGATCCGGTCTTAGTGGCATATAGTCAGTGTTAATTCATTACTAATGAAAATTCCTCCGCCATTCTCGTACTTTCGACATCTAGTGGTCAATTCCAGGGCAGCATGTCACTTGTTGATTGATACTATTGATTATGACCTCTGTGGGACCTCATCACCTTCATCCCAATCCTTACAAATATCTAACAGCGGCACGATATCAGTGGGAACAGGGCCAACGGATAGGCACAGCACACAATGAGGTTATCTCATCCTCACACATTCTCACAGTCATGCTATGACCTCTCAGCGTGCCATCCTAATACTGTGGCTAATTCCCAGACCTGTGTGTCCTCTGAGGACAGAATGAATAGATCATGCCTAAAAAAGGAATAAGGTCAGATTCTACCCCATACAGCTAAATCTAAATCAAGCTTTTCAACTGTAACACAGAAGTGTGGTGTACATATCATAAAATAAAAATGCAGTAAAGGACGTGCATGTGAGAACATCATGGAATTACAGCTGTTTCTCATACGAATCACACAGCTGCGGCGTATCTCAGGAACTGACCCTAATTGAAGCAAATATTGGGTGAAGTACTGAGGTGGGATGAGATAACATATTTGTCAGATATGCAGTCAGGCATTCAGCCACTCTGATTACACAGCACAAGTCAAGATAGAGAGAGGTGGTCCTCACTTACACCAAATCACACAAAGAACATCACACACACAAAAGGCCCAGAATAGTAGCAATTCAAGTGCACATGCTCCACAAACCAGACAATGTATCTGCAAATTTTGATATTTAGGAGTGAGCATGTTTTGTTATTTACTTATAATTTGACTCATCACTTTAGAAAATTTGAACATACCTTAATTTCTAGCTTATTTGACGTTTTCATATTAGTGAACCTGTTGTTTTATATTGTAATTTTTGAATAACACTGCCCTGCATCATATTTACTGAATGAAATCCAATACTTGTTTCTACTAATTTTGGGTGCTGATTCCAAAAGTAGTGGCTGTTTTACTCTTACAAAATATAATGGGGATTTCGTAGCATTTTTGCTTTCGACAACCATCTGTAAGGTGACGAAGTCTTGTATTAGGCCTTAATCACCAGATAAACTGCCATAAAGACATGATTTCTATCTTCCTTTAAGCCAGGTTACAACTATTTGTTCAATTCCCATTGATTCTCACAGGTATCAATCATTCTTAACACATTGATTTCCACTGAACGCCTGATTTCCACTTTTCCCACTTCCACTTCGCAGATTGTAAATTGAATGATACATTTTGAATAAATCTTTTTGTCATTAAAACTGAGACGTTTGACTGCTTGTTATGTTGATAAGTGCATTAAATTTGATACAAATATGAAATTAAAAAAAAACTTCAAAAAATGTATTTGATGGAAAGTTTTTTTTTTAAAGATTTTTGGACCCAGCATTAGCAAATTAGGTAATATTTCGCCTTTTTTCAAAATCAGCAGATTTTTTCCCGACAAGATGCAGGACTGTGTCATTAATGCAGTAGGCTACTTTTTTGTGAATGTTTTATCACTTCATTGTAATGCCAGTATTGCCAATATGGATGAACATATATAATAACGTGGATATAGTTTAGAGTTTCTGCCATAATCATCATGTTTTCCTCACCGTCAAGAACACAGTGACTGAGATTTGTCTGAAATTTCGCCAATAATATGCTAATACAAAATTCCATATTACAAAAAATCATATCTGTCTGATCATTTTGATGCCAGCAAAAATACACAGTCATGATCTATGCTACAAAAGTCTAATAATT